AAACCCGTCACTGGGATCCAGTTTCTTATCTTGAGGCATGAAGTTTTGAATATGTTTCCATAATTCTCCTTTGGCTTGGATATCAGGGCTTCTCCCTGGTTGTAGTTCACCTGGGCCGTAGCTCATGTTGATTTGTAGCTCACCAGGACCTCGTAACTCATCCAAGGCCCTAACTCACTGGGACCACAGCTCACCTAGGTAGGTCATGGTTTACCCAGGGCTTAGCTCACTGGGGCCATTGTTCACATGGTACATTGCCCACCCTGGTTGTAGTTCACCTGGGGCCGTAGCTCATCCAGGCTGCAGCTCACCAGGCTGTGGCTCACCCAGGCCACAGCTCACCAGGGTTTGCACCTCAACCAGGGGCCTGCCTTTTAAATCTTTTTTTTTTTTTTAAGATTTTATTGTGAACCGTGTGAAAGTTTATGGAGAAAATCATCAGTTAGTTTTACTTTCAACAAATCATATTTTGTTCCATTTTAATGATTGCAATCCCTTTCATACATCATCAGTTAACAGTATTTACCTCTATCCACCTTTTTTTTTTTTTTTTTTGATGTACGCATACCACACAGAAAATATATTTGTTAAAATGTCCAAAGGGCACATTTTGCAAGGCACACAACCTTTCTCGTTGCATGGGTCTATAGTCCTCAGCTGCTCTGTCTCTCTATGCTTTCGCCACTTTTCTCGTTAGCATCCCACATTCCACTCACGGGCTTCCCTCTTGATGGTCCTAGTGTCCTTTATTTCTGAAATGAATAATTAACTACCCCCCCCCACTTTTAGTTTCAGATCTTCTACATTTACAGTTGTGACAACTGCAATTAGTCATGATAACAATTACTCACTATTGAATCATAAAATCCTACCCCCATCCCTTTTCACCAAACCCATCTGGAAAAGAGGAAAGCTATTCAGTGGGGATTCTACCTTACCCCCCTTGTTCTGAAACTAAGCACATTCATGAAAGTTTGTAAGCCAGCCACTGTGTGCCTTTATAGCCTCCATATTTGATAGCCAATGTCTAAGTTGCCTGTCAACCCAGTGTACTGAGGAGACAATCTTGATCCTTGATATGAAGAATCAATCTTTCCCTTTTGGTTGTAATTTTGAGCAACTACATCCATAAACAAAGGTCCTGTTCATCAAATTGTAGCAATTTACACTAGCTCCCTATATTAAACTTCTTTATCTTCATCTGGTAGAGTTCTGGTCAACAAGCCATCCAAACTAGGTCAAATAGGTACTACTTTCAAGTTTGGGAGTTCCAGCATGCCTCCCCCTGCTTCAGACCAGCTGGCCATTTCACACTAAACTCTAGCCCCTCAGTGGCAAGGTCAGCGTCTATGGGCTCAGGAGTTCACACATCTACCTAAACTTCAGACCAACTAGCCCTTCCTCTTCTCTCTCTCATCTCAGGGTCAATGGGTGTCTTTGGAACATGGTCAAACTCAGCTGATGTGCTCATTGCTGCATTTCCCTCACTTTCACTCACAAGTAAACCAGGCAGTCATCAGTGAGGTTACAAGACTGCTCCTGTGTTCATTTTGAGTAACAGTTTTAGAAGAAGGTTTACCCGGATGGGCTGACTTTTCTTGCATTGATGGCTCCATGGCTGTTAAGGCTTCTACATCTTTGTGGGAGCAGAAAGCCTCACCTTTATCTTGTGGAGTGGCTGGCAGGCTAATTCTCATGTATTTGTTGTAGAGGGTCCGTGCATTGTGTCTGCCCAATCCACCATCTTGCCAGAAATCTCTCATCATATTTATTCTTTAACTAAATGACTCATAAGGAGCTCTGGTAGCATTGTTGTTGTTGTTGTTAGGTGCCATCGAGTTGGCGACCCTATGCACAGCAGAACGAAACAATGTCCGATCCTGGGCCAACCTCACTACTGTTGCCACACTTGAGTCCATCGATGCTGCCACATGGCCAATCTATCTCATTGGGAATCTTCCTCTTTTTCTCTCACCCTCCATTTTAGTGGTTACAAATCGGAATGCAAGCCTCAAGGTCAGTAGTTTGAAACCACCAGCAGTTCTGTGAGAGAAAGATGAGGCTTTCTGCTCTCATAAAGATTTACAGCCTTGGAAACCCTGTACAATGTCACTATGAGTTGGAACCGGCTCCACGGCACATACCCACCACCACCACCACAAATGATTCATTTCGATTTAAAATGCTTATCCACTCACTGACTTTGCTATATCCTTGGTGGTAAAAATCTTTCTGAAACAAAATGAAGTTGTGTGATCTTTTTATTAGCTTGTTACTCATATATTCATAAAATGATACTCTCCTATGTTTCATTGCCTTTTCTGCAGCCAAGAATTTACTTCATTCTAAGGTCTTTCATGTTTCAGGCCGTGCTTTGTTCTGCTGTGCATAAGGTCACTATGGGTCGGTACCAACTCGATGGCACCTAACAACAACAACAACAAGGTCTTTCAGAAACCTACTGGATTCCTAGCAAGAAAATGCATTTATAGTGTGTCAGAGCATTGTGCTGCTGGCCCTCACAGATGACTGAAAACCTGGTCAGACCTATTAGTAAATTGTCCCTCCCTTGTTATAGGTCTAAGGATCTCATAAAGGAAGCCATCCTTGACAATGATTTTATGAAGAACTTGGAATTGTCACAGATCCAAGAGATTGTGGATTGTATGTATCCGGTGGAGTACGGCAAAGACAGCTGCATCATCAAAGAGGGAGATGTGGGGTCCCTGGTGTATGTCATGGAAGGTAAGGTTCATAATGCTGGTCCTCTGATATTCAAATACTACCTCTTCATTCTTTCAGCTTGCACAAAGATGGAAATGTATTACATGAAACAATACCATTGTTCTTTTTTTTTTTTTTTTTTTACTCAGAAAGAGTTTGAAAAGTGGTTTAAAGCTGCTTAGATACAGTGGTTGACTAACTGTATGATGCGATTATGTTTAGAATATTAATATGAGGCTTCATCTCCTTTCCTGGTATCTTTTCACATGTGGGGAAAGAACAATAATATGCAAGAAAAAATGCTACTAATTAAATGGAATAAAGCTGCACACTATCAGATCTGTGATCAAGCTCACATAGCTCCAAGATCATTGGAGTTTCTTTGGTCAGATAATTAAACTATCTTCAGCTCAACCCTTAACTTTCAATATATGACTAGTTTTCCTGATATATTGCTTCTGTAAAAAGAAATTATTTTCAGTGTCTGTTATGTGAATGATAAGGCTCATCATAAGGATTGGATGGCACATTAGCTGCCCAATTAATAACATTGATAGTAGCTTATTCCATAAACTTTGCATAGACTAAGATTGAAACTGCTTTGAAAAAAGCTGAGGAATGCCCAGGGTTTTATTCCTAGGTAAATTATCAGAAACTTTATTTCTATCCTGGGATTACAATGACATGTTTTCCTTTTGTGGGAAGAGAGAAGACTGAAATAATGGCAAAGTCAGTCGAGAAGAAAGGGAATTCAAAGATGTCTTGGTTCGAGTGGTAATTACTGATTTACCTCAGGCACTCATGGTAAAGTCCTAAAACTGTCAAAATTGTGTCACTCAAGTAACTTTTTGGGGATAATTCACTTAACTTATTTGAATTGCAACAGTCCATGGTTCTCATTGGGTGGTAATTTTGTGCCCAGGAAACATGTGCCAGTGTCTGGAGACATTTTTGGTGGTCACATTTAGGGAGGGGAGAAGCTACTTACAGCAAGTGGGTAAAGACCAGAGTTGATGCTCAATAGAGCATTTGCCCACAACGAAGAATTATTTAGCTTAAAATGTCCTTAATACTGAAAACATCCTGCTGTCTGCCTTCCTTAAAAGATTGTTATGAAGTTCATATGAGAGAGTGTGAATGAATGTGTGGTGTAAGCTATAAAACATTCTAAGATAATGTTATTTCTGTTAAATACTTGGCAGTACATAAGAAGTGTTCTGACATTTGTCATTCACAGTTTAATTTTTCTTTATAATCTTGTGGGCATACCTACATATTCAATTTTTAAGTTTTAATTTCTGTTCATTTTTTTCTCTGTTATTTTTACCATTTATATTTACATTATACAGGTATTCTCCAGGTCTAAAGGATATAAATATTCAGGTAGATTTTCTTTCCTTAAGAAAATAATACTCAATAAGCAAACAGAAACAATAGGCGCTTCAAGAATTGCAGTGAAGGAGATGAAATGATATTGCAGTAGAATATGTGAATGATGAGCAGAAAGGATGAGGAAATGGAAGAGTTATATACAGGTCAAGTGTTGTGTATAATATTATGCAAAATATTAAGAACTACTAAGAATTAGAAATCACGTTTGAACACTTATAAGATTATATCAATGGTTTCATAGGATGTCTTTTTTAACATATTTTATTTGCAAGTATTTTCTTTAATTTTTATTATGAATTGAATGAAAGTTTACAGGGAAAATGATCAGTTTTATATTCAATAAATCAAAATTTATTGCATTCCAATGATTACTATCTCCTCCAAGCACCATCAATCAACAGTATTTACCTCTATTCCTCCCATTTTGTTTTATGGTTTTAATTTCCCTTTTTTTTTGACGTACACATACAAAACAGAAAATACATAGTCATTTAAATGTCCAAAGGGAATTCTTTGCAAGCCATTCTCCTGCCTGGAGACACAACCTTTCTCAGTCCATGGGCCTGGAGTCCTCAGCTGCTCTGTATCTCTGTGCCATCATCTCTGCCACTTTCTCTGCTGTCATTGCTATTATGATTTTGATACCACACTCTGCTCTTGCTCTTCCCTCTAGTTGGTCCTAGGGCTCTATGTTCCTAAAGCAGAAGATGAAATACTCCCCCTTTTGGTTCTACATCTTCTACATTTACAATTGTGACCATCACCTCTGCTACTGTCTCTGCTGTTGTTTCTTTTCTGGTTATGATACCATACTTCACTCATGATCTTCCCACTTGTTGGTCCTAGGGTTCTCTATTCCTGAAATGGAAGATTAAGCACTACCTCTTTTGGTTCTATATCTTCTATATTTATAGTTGTGACAATCACAATTAGTTTTTATAACAATTACACATAATTGAATCATAAAATCCTATCCCCTTTCTACCCTATCTGGAAAAGAGGAAGATTATTCAGTGGGGATTTACCTTACCCGCTCAGCACACTCTTGAAAGCTTGTAGGCATGCCACTTCATGCCTTTATAGTCCCCCATTTTTTTGCCAACCAATATCTAAGTTTCCTGTCCATATCAAACCCAATATACTGAGGAAAGAAGTTTGATCCTTGATATGAAGAGTGCTTACCTTTCAGTTGGAAATTTTTGCAACTACATCCATAATCAAAGGTCCTGTTCATCAAATTGTAGCAATTTACACTTGCTTCCTGTATCAAACTTCTTTATCTTCATATGGTCAAGTTCTGGTCAGATAGCCATCCAAGCTAGGCCAAATGGGTACTAACTGCAGGTTTCTGAATTCTTGCATGCTTCCCCTCACTTCAGACCAGCTGACTGTTTCACTCTCAGCTCTAGCCTGCAGTGGTTAGGTCAGTGTACATGGGCTTGGGAGTTCACACATCTCCCTAAACTTCAGACCAGCTAGCCCTTCCTCTTCTCTCTCTCATCCCAAGGTCAACAGGTATCAATGGAACATGGTCAAACTCATTCCATGTCTTGATTGCTGTGTTTCTCCCACTTTCACTCACAAGTAGATCAGGGTGTTCACTAGTGAGCATACCAGACTGCTTCTGTCTTCCTTTGAGTTTCAGTCTTAGAAGAGGGTTTGCCCTAGTGGGCTGATATGTCTTTCCTTGATGGCTACAAGGTAAACAACTTGCTTGCTATTCTAACAGTCAAAAAGTCTGCCTATTTTCTGATGGTCTTGTTTTTAAGAAATATCTTCTATTCCTCTAGCCATTCCAGGTTGGTCTGCATTCCTTCCCAAGTGAAAATGTCCTACACCTTAGAAGTTTCTGGATGGGTCTCAGCATTCCACCTAAGGTCCCACAAAGGCTTAAGAAGAAGCTTATTTCTCAGGGGAAGTTGTAATTCCCTTTTTAGTTAATCCAATCAGTTATAGGCTAAGACAGGCTTACAAATTTTCTGTGATCATATTTCCCAATATTCCTTTCTATTCCACTTAACTGTCTATTTTATAATAGAAAGCAGGGGAAAACAATATCAACAAAGACAGTCAAGCACCTTAACACCTTTTCCCTCCTTTACCCATTCTGATTATGTTTGGATCCTTGTATCACAGAACCCTGTTGCCCAAAGGTTTTGTATACATCACTGTTTACCTCTATTACATTTAGTCTATGTATAGCTCCCCAAGTTTACTCCTATCTTTCTTGCTCATCTGCCCCCCCATTCTTGTGTATTGCCCTTCCCCTCCTTGTATATTGTCCACCCTTTCCCCCCAGCTATCATATGTCAACCCCTGACCTGTGAATTACTGTACCCTCCCTCCAACCCCTGATACCCATCAAAATTTTTTTCGTTTACATTGGAAATCTTTTCTGAAGGTTTCACAATAATGATCTTACACAATATTTGTCCTTTTGTGACTAACTAATTTCATTTAGCAAAATGTCTTCAAGGTTCATCTGTGTTATGAAATGTTTTGCAGCTTCCTTGTTATTCTTCAAGGTAGCATATTATTCAATTGTATGTATGTACCAAAGTTTGTTTAACTATTCTTCCATTGATGGGCACTTAGGCTGCCTCCATCTTTTTGCCATTGTGAACAGTGCTGCAGTGCACATTGGTGTGCATATATCTACTCATATTCTGGCTCATATTTCTTGTGGGTATGCACCAAGTAGAGGAATTGCTAGAGTATCAGGTATTTCTATTTCTAACTTTCTGAGGAAGCTCTAAAGTGTTTTCCAGAGTGGCTGAACCATTTTACAGACTACATTTCCAGAGTGGCTGACCCATTGTACTACCACACTGTAGTAGTGTTCCTGTCTCTCTGCATCCTTGCCAGCATTTGTTGTCCTCTGTTTTTTCGAACTTCACTGTTAATGCTGGTGTGAGATAATATCTTATCTGTCAAGCATCTTTTTAAGAATGTAACTATTGTATAAAGGAAGATACACTTTTACTTTAACTTTTTCCAAAATTCATTGTTATTTCATTTGAGAAACTACAAAAAATTTCCCTTTCATCTTACGTATTTCCGGCATAAACATATCTCCAACAATGTTTTAATTTGTTTTTCTGAAAAGCAAATGTTTACGTGCCCATGTCATGCCTGTTTTCTAGGATTTTGATAACAGTAAATGAATTAGCTTATCTTAGAAGAAGCTTGTTAATATTTGTTGAGTGTTTAGAATGGTGTTCAACAAATACAGTATGCTTTCTTTAAACACTTTGTATATACAAAGTCCATTTAGTCTTGAAAACAGTTGGCAGTAAGTAATGTTTAGTATCCCAATTTTATAGATGAGGAGATTGAGGTCTAATGTGGTTAAATAAATTGCCTGGATCTCCATACTCATTGATAATGGAGTCAGGATTTGAACCCAGACAATTTGTATTTAGAGCTCAAGCTCTTACCAATGGGATATATTGCTTCGTTCTCTTTAAAATGTTGAAGAGCAAAGATGTCAGTTTGAGAACTAAGGTGTGCCTGACCCTAGCCCTGGTATTTTCAATAACCTCATATGCATGTGAAAGTTGAACAGTGAATAAGGAAGACCACAATAGAATTACTGCATTTGAGTTATGGTGTTGGAGGATAATTTTGAA